AAAAAAAAAAAAATCACTCCACGTTTGTACAGGGCTGGTATCTTGTAAACTAGAAACAGGCTTGTGAGGAGAAAGAAATGAGTACACGTACATCTATTTCTGTAAAGGGCTTAGTCCATACACTTCTATGTAACAGCCAGAAAACAACATTTGTTAACTATTCTAGCACTCAAGAGAACATTGGATTTTACCTTGGATTTTAATGTGGTTTTGGGATTCAGGTTTGTTTTTTTGTTTTTTGTTTTTTGTTTTTTTTAAAGTCAAACACTGAAAAACCTAAATTCCGTAACACTTACCAAATGACACCCATGATTCATCAGCAGAACAGAACCTTCAGAGCAACACACAAGCCTCTGCCACCCAAGTTAACTGATGGTAGGGTGTACACTGACACCAACTTAAAAAAGGGAAGGAAGACCAGCTACTTCAGAGATGCAGCTGCTGTTACACTGTGAGCTCATCTACACATGAAATTAATTTGACAAAAACTCTGGTACAATTCACACCAGAATTTATTGCTCTCTTGCACAACGTTTACATGTGCACCCAAAAATCACAGCATGTTGAAACAGGGTGGAGCAGCCCTGGCTGGCAGGAAGCCCAGGGCGGGGGGCAGCCTGCCAACCTGGGGCTGCTCCAGTGCAGTTAAGGGCTGGCTGGGGCACAAGAGTGCTACGGTGTAGGGCTAGCCGGCAGGCAGCCCCAGGCTGTAGCACTCTTATGCCCCAGCCAATCCCAATCAGCATTTATACATGCATTGTGGTGAAGTAAATAACTCCGCTGTAAGATAGTACTTCTGTTAGGCAGTACTATCCTAGGGCAGAGTTAATTAGTTTACTCCAGCCTAATAGCACCACATGTATGCTTTAGTGTGGACCTAACTGGTCAGATCTGCAGTAAGTGTCTCGTGTGGATGCACCCTGTAGCAGTTACCCCTGTATTAAACCTGGAGCAATACAAATGTAGCAAACCCACTCCAGCTTTGACCTGAATTCATCCACTTGTATCACTAAAGGCTCATGCATACATAACAGTTGCAGATTAACACCTGCTGCTTTATGCTTGCCTTTTGAAGCTGCTGAAAGTATATGTTCTTCCAAAACCTGACAGAAGATGGCCATTATGGACCAGCAGCAGAGGGGGGAAAGATGCTGCTAACGCATTTGACAATATTTGAGATCGGCAGAGCAATTACGAGACCCAAGAACCTCAAGTCTGATTCCAAGTCCCAGAGGCCTGTATTTCACTGCTTACACTCCTACCCCTTCTCCCTCCAGCCTTCGCCGGTCCTAGGTGTCCTCCTCTTCAATCCTCTTCCCCTGCCCACCCCCAAAGTACCCACCACTTACTTGCCTTCATCTCTATTCCACACCCCAGTCCTCGTCTTTAACACTGACGTAAATACATATCCCCACGGGGATGAGAACCTTATGTGCCACTGTAATTAGACAGTAGCAGTTACAGAGGTCTACACAGAAGTAAACTGAACACAGCCTACAGTTTTAGTTGGATTGAGACTGGATAGCTCAAAAAAGCAGCCACAAAATGGACCAACGTTCCTTAGATTAAATACAGTCAAGACTGGTAATGATGGGAAGTTACCCATCCAGCAGCATTTCAGTGGCTGTAGGCAACACCCAGTTGTCTTGGGTGAGCACAATCTGGGAGAAATAGTTTACGAGTTTCCAGAGGTGACTGTAAGCATCAAACAGGAAGGACAGTCCAACTTTTATAAAGAATTAAATTAAAAGAGCAATAGAAATTTATGCTAGTACATGCTGCAATTGGGATTTCAATGTTCAGGGTTTCCAGTATGATGGCAATGAAATCCCCCTGCTGAAATGCAGTAAAAACAAAATATATTTAATGGTATAAACAGGAAATCACCAGTTTGGCTCTCTTAATAAGACTACAAACAATTTAACTTATGTTTCATGATTCTTGTTCAATTACATTTGCAAAATTCACACTGTATTTAGTAGTTAAAACCATGGAAAAAAAGTGTGCAGAAAAATTATACTTATATGACAGAAGCCACACAATACAGGCAAAGCTGAACAGGTGGCAAGACTATAACAGCTGTAACTCTAGCACTGCCTTAGCAAATCTGAAATCTGAGTTCAAATGCCCCAGGCTATGTGTTCTTGTAGACTAGTCCTTGTAAACTAGAAACAGGCTAGTAATGTTTCTAGTATTCAAATGCCCCAGGCTAGAATTTTATGGTGTTTCAGAGTCATCTTAAAATACTGTTAATCTTTACCGTCTCATGAGCCTTCCTTTGCTCCTGATCGAAGGGATGAAGCACTTGCAATCCACAGATCTCACACACCGCTCCATGGAGGTAAGGGCACTGGTCACCAAACTGGCATGCCCCAGCAGCTGCATAGGGACACAGCTGCTGTCCATCAGCAGAGGAACTTCCAGGCATTGGATCTTCCAGCCCAGTGCAAATAGCTTCTAGATATGAATGGGGCTTCATTTCCAGATCATCAGTTTTGTCACTGCAACAAGCCAGGTCACTTGCTGCACTGAGTCTCGTCTTTTCTTCATTCAAACTACGTAAATCTTAAAAGAAAAAAGCACAATATATTGAATGATCATGAAGGCATAAAAGCCACAAAGGAACCTCTCTTAAATACAAAGGCTACCTGATCAATTAAAGGGTTCTGTTTAACCACAGCCCTCTCACCAGCTGAATCCACATATATAGCTCCTTCTATGCCTAAACTCAGCAGCATTTTACAATCAAAATTATATACTGCAAAGCCTGAAAATACCAGGTATATACACATTTTGAACTGCTTTCAGACTTGCACTTGAAGCAAGGCTAAAATCCTCCTGGTTCTTAACTAAATGAATGAATAAATGTGTTCTCCACAATTGCTTCTCTTGGCAATTCAGGGGCCAGCTGCATTTGTGTGCCCATAAAGAACTGCTCCAAAACAGATTTCCCTGACACTTTTTGGAAATTTCCCCTCTGAATAACATTTTGTAAAAAAAAGACCTGGTATTACTAGAAACTTCTGATTTTGCATAATATCTCAAATGCAGTACATACAGATTGGCTGCTTAAGACCTGGAAAAAAACCCCAGCTCTTTACTTTCAGCTCAGTGCAGCACATGCCCAGAAGAAACACTGCATTAATTTGACCCAGCTTGCCCAACGTCTGTGTAGATCGTGCACTTTAGCAGGGCTTTTTGGTACTTTTATCTAATAGCTGATTAAATCAGCCATTAATTAGATAAAAGTGCCAAAAAGCCCCACTGAAGTGGCGCAGTCTATACAAACACTGGGGAGCTGAGTTGAACTAATGCACTTCCTTCTTCTGGTCAATGCTGGTTTTCTGGGTTTTTTTCCATGTCTGTCAGCAGCCATTATGTCACGCTTTCACCATGAACTCCCAAAAGGAATTTTATTGGAATTTTATTGCTGAAAGGAAAAGGAGACGGACAGATTATGTTCTGGTCACACACACAGTTCCGAAGCTGCCACCCAACTTCTTCAGCATCCATCAAGGTTCAGCCCAGAGACCCCGCCAAGATGGGCTGAGCAGCAAGTGGCCTGGGGCACTGACAGGGTAGGGCAATTGTGCAGGGCTGAGAGAGGAAGAAGGAAGATAACACAACACTGCAGCCTCACAACGGATAGTGCAAGCAATATGGAGAAGGGAAGGGTTTATTTATGGTGGACCTGGGGAGACCAAGCTGGGTACGCACGTAGGAATAGAGGACTGCTGAGAGCGGGAGCTTGACCCCCATTCTGCAGCATTAGGCAATGCAGGACTCCCCTAGTACTTGTACCCAAGTATACTGGGTCAGTCCTCCAAGTGCTAATCCCCCGGCACCACCCCAAATCCCTGCTCATGCCTTGGAAGATGGCAGGAAAGGACCACATGGAGACACAGAAGAATCATTTGGGGAATGCATGGAGCAGAAGAAAAGTTTTCCCCTAGAAAAGTTAACAGATGTAAGCATTTGCAGAATTATGTTACAAAAAGTAACTGCATCTGCTTGGGCATCTATAAAATGGAAGAGACAAGGAGAGGAAGGGAAGCAATAAAACTACTAGCTTCAATAAGCATAGTAACTATTTCAACTCACTTCTGTCCCTCAGCACTAGTGTTTTCTTTTCACGCTTGCCAGGTTCACGTGTTTTGCTCTTGATTACAGGTGTGCTATGCTCGGATGGAGGGTTTGGGCTGTGGAGCACTGGTAAAGAGAGGCTGGGTGGTGCAATGCCCACTGCACCACTAGGAGCAGGAAGCCTGGTATGATCATATCTAAAAAGAGAAAGCAAAGTAAAAGTTCGTGCTACAAGGACTAAGCTCTGGTTGAAAGCATAATTAGGATTGTTCGGGAAACTACTGGACTCCACACAGACAGTCCAGACTGGATCACTCTCATATCCCCCCCTGCCCATACATTATGCCAATGAAGCTTTACGTGCAGGTGTAGCAACAGTCCCCCATACTAGTCTAGATAGCAGTCAGGAAAACTGTTCCTCCCAAGGTGGGGGAACCGAAAATCCTGCCAACATCCTGTACGAGGTCCCCTCTCATACCACCTGCTCAGATGAGATGGGGCTGCATTCCCCCAGTGATGTACTTCTGTACCATTTGCTCCAGTTCCTCTTTGCTTCTGGCGATATTAGTTAAGATGGCAAGTCACTGAATCATAGAAAAGCAGGGCTTGAAGGGACCTCCAGAGGCACCTAGTTCAACCTCCACTTGAGGCAGCATCATTCCTATCCAAACCATCCCATACAAACCATAATCTAAACTCTGTGTAAAACTACCCTCAATCCTGACACAACACACCAAACACCTGATTTGCTGTAGGCAAAGCAGGGGAATCACGTCAGCCAACGTCCTGCGACTACAAAATACTGTGAATATATGCTCAAGAGGCCCTGGGTAGAGGCTGAGCCCCTGCTACAGAGGAAGACAAAAGCCCCCACAGCTCGGGCCAATCTGACCACAGGGTAAAATTCCTTCCTGACCCCAAATATGGTATCACTCTGGCTAGCAGGTCTTGTCCCTCCGCTCAAGGCCAGGAACCTCTGGCTTTGGTCCCAGCAGGAGTACTGGCACAGCCCCGCCAAAATCCACAGCCTGGGCTGCAGCTAACACCAGCGCCTCTGAGGGAGGCTTAACTCCCAACCCCCGGCGCAGAAAGGGCACAAGGGGGCAGGCGGCGAGGCCCGGAAGGCCGGAAATCCCTGCAGCGCGGAGCACAGCTCGGGCCGGGCCGGGCCAGCCCTGCCGGACCGGGCCAGGCCGTGCAGGGACCCCGCGGGCGCTCACCTGCAGCGCGCGCCGTAGGCGCACTGTCCCTTCTGGTAGAAACGGCAGACGGCGGCTGCGCGGCTCGCGGACAGGTCGTGGGAAAACAGGCAGCGGCTGCCCTGGCGGCACACGCCATGCACGTAGTACCTGCGGGCGGGAAACGGGAGCCGTCACACGCCGGCCGAGGCCGCAGGAGCCCCTCTCACAG